CTCTCTCTCTCTCTCTCTCTCTCTCTCTTTCTCTCTCTCTCTCTCTTTCTCTCTCTCTCTCACACACACACACACACAATCACACACACACACACACACACACACACACGATCACAAAGTCCACACACACACACACACACACACACACGATCCCAAAGTCCTGCGCAGGTTGTGCTGCCATGGCAGGATCAAAAAGGGGTGCGTCCAGGCAGCCGCAGCAGCTCGACCTCTTGATGCCCCTCGTCCCCGCCCTCCCCCATGCGATCGCCGGCAGCGCTCACCGCCAGACCAACCACCATGCGCGTGCGCCGCGGCTGCAGCCGCGCGTCTGACAGAGGGCTAGGCGGGCGAGCAGGCGGGTGGTGGCGGGCGGTGGCGAGTGGGTGAAGCGTTTCATGTGCGTGTTTGGGTGCGTGGGAAGCTGCATGCCGGCCTGCAGAGCTCGCAGGGGCTGTGTTCGCATGGCGCGGCCATCCATGCGCAGCGGGAGGCCCTACATGAGAGTCAGGTAGCCGCTGCGGAACCGCGGCGGGCGCTGCGGGCCGTGCACCAGCCGCCGCCACGCCGCCGCCGCGCGCCGCGCGAGCCCTGCAGTGCCGCCGCCGCCGCCATCCAGGTCATGCGGCAGCTCCTCGGCTATGGGCGACGGCGGGTCTGAGTAGCCGTACAACAACGGGTCGTCGTTCTCGCCGCTGCTGGCAGGCCCGGGGCCGGCGGCGGACGAGGGGAATCGGATCAGGCCGCTGCCCGTGGTGCCGTCTGCCTGTGAAGCGGGCGGGTCGACGCGGCCGTTGCGCGCCATCGCGCCGCTGGCGGGCCTGCCGGCCGCGTCGTGTGCAGGCGACGCTTGTCGAGCGCCGACGCTGTTGTCGCAGCCGCTGCCGCTCGTTGACGCCCCTTGTGCTGCGGCAGATGCTGATTGGTCACTGCGCGTTTTTGGCTAGCGAGGGTTATTATAGGTACTAGGTTGCCTGCTCACCCGCTGATCACACTTCACAGATCGCAGCAATTGTCTACGCAGGCATGATGTACAGCAAGTATGAAATACAAGCGGCGTTGTGGGTCAGAAATAAATGGCCGGGCTGTCACAATTGGTCGAGACACCTGGCCACCTGGCAATGCGGCGCTTTTTCCTCGTTCAACGCCAGCACAGCGCCACCACGATGCGACCTGCAAGCAAGCGCCGCCAATCGCATATTTGATGAAGGAACAAACTGCATGCTCACACCTACGCATTGGCAGCAGCATGGGTTTGCATAGCATCGAGATCACAGCGCATGTGCCATGCGGACGCAGTGGATGCTGGAGCAGTGCAGAGTCCCGCCACAACTCAACCCCAGTGATGTCCTTGCCAGCAACACTGTTGGACAGAAACACAAGGTAAAGTTCGAATCCACGGTGCCGTCGCCAACGTGCACGTGCAGCATAGACTTTGGTGAACAGCCGGCTGCTGCCCAGACCGCCAGGAGCAGCCGCTCTGTTTTGTGGAGCTCGTCGCCCTGGACACCGTTCTGCCCTGCCGCACCCCAGTGTCGTGCACAGCAGCAGCAGAACTTGCAGGAGTACTGTTCGGCCTAGGTATTCATATCCATTGCGTGCCAAACGCGGCCGGCCTGCTGCACTCAGAAGTGGTACGTTGTCACGCCTCCCAGCGAGCCAGGCTGTAGAGATGCTCAGACATGAGGCAATGGGTGCAGGCGATGGGCTGATTGCCAGTGTCATTGTGGTCAGCCAACACAGTCGTTGCGCCGCAGACTCGGCTGGTGGTCGGCGTTTAGTCATCTGGGCACACAGTACAGCAGTACAGTACGGTACGGCAGATAGAGCCACGCTGTCCCGCCAGTGGCACAACAGTGGTGAAGCGGGCCAGCTGCTGTGCAGAACGGCTTGCAATATTGCACATTCAGTCATGGGCAGCCTGGCTTTTTCCTCGTAATCACTGCTGCTGATGAGCTGACATGGAGCTCGCAGCGTCACCGCGCTAGTGACTTGGCTGGCGCGCAGTGAGCAGTGAGCTGCGGCGGATACCGCAACCGCATGTTGCTAGATAAAGGTACTGAGGCCGCAAATCCACTATGGGCACTGAGCTTTTGATCGAACGTGTTTTCACAGCCTGGCCGCGTCCGTAAGCAGCCCTCGTTTCGCTCAAGCACGTGCCGCTACTTGTGACGTGTAGCACAAGTGTAAAAGGCATCACTAGCTCCTGCGCACCAGGTCGTTGAGGTGGGGCGCAAGGCGCCGCTCGAGCCCTGTGCAACAGCAGGGTGGTCCAAACGCTGCCCGTGACAGCAGTTCAACGCAGCGGGCCAGCCATTGCATGGCTAATCAGCACTCTCTGCCATTGTGCTGTTAAAGGCGCAGCACTCCCTGCTGAAGCACGGCCCACCACTGCTCAACAACACGCCCCCGCAGCCGCTGGCGGCGCCCAAAAGCTGCCCTGCCCGCCTGGTAAGCGAGAAGCGGCCAGAACTCGCTTACTGGCCAACATCTGATCGCAAGCAGTGCTGATTCGCCGCCCTAGATGGGACGCGCATTTTGGGCCAAAGCCGCGCAAGCGCAATCCTCTTGTTCGCCGCCTTGTGCATGGCCTGCTGCGTCCACAAAACAAGGGGCCGCCATGGGCCCTTTTCTCATCGCCGCAGCTGCAAGCTCAGATGGATAACCCGCGCCGCCGCCTGGCCCCAGCCTAGCCAGAAGAGGCTCAAACCCTTCTGTTGCCCGTGCGCGCAGGAAGGCGGCGCCTGCGCTGTAGTGACACCCATCGCGACAGCAGTCGGCCAAGACCGCATTCACGGGAAAGCAGCCCCGAACAGGCTGCTCTTTTGGATAGTTTGAAAATCGAGTAAATCATAATATGGCGACTGACAGCATCCTCCTCAAGCACGTCGTCCCGGCTCTGGGCGTGGGGGTGGCGTGGGCGATGTTCCTCGCGCCCCTCAAGGCTGTGCTGCAAGTGCGGCGCTCCAAGGCGCTCGGGGTGAGAGGCCGCGCCTCCCCCAGCAACCCCCATCCCCCCCCCACCGATGGGGGCCCTGCACGCCGCGCGCCCCGCCTGGCCCTCAGCCAGCCCTGGTGGATCCGCCCGCCCGCGCCGGCCGCCGCGGCGCCGTCCCACAGCGCCCACTCAGCGCACGGCCGCCAACCGCCGCCGGCGCCCCGCACCCACCACCACCGCGCCGGACCCACCCACCCCCGCAACGTCCGACGCCCCTCCCAACCCCCTGGGCAGGCGCTCAACCCCCTGCCGCTCGTCGCAATGTGGGCAAACTGCGTCGGGTGGCTGGTGTATTCGTTTCTGATCCGGGACGCGTACGTGCTGGCATCGAACGTGCCCGGCCTCGTCCTGGCGGTGTCCATGACCGTCACATGCTACGGCTTTGCCGATGAGAAGGCGTGCCCATGCTCGCTTCTGTTCACCGCACTCGCGCTGCCCGCACGCGCACGCGACCGCGAACCCGCGCCGGCCATGCGGGCGTGCGTGCGCTGGGCAGAGCTCCCCCGCCCGGTTCCTCCGCACCCCCCTGAAGAAGCCGTGGCGTGTTGGGGACGATGATGGACGCGGGGAAACGCGGGCGTCACCCCACCGCTGACGACGGACGAGCCCTTGCGCGCATGTGCGCCCCATGACCCCTCCCTCCCCTCCCCCC